CCTTTCACCTCTCTCATCTCCCCTCCCCCCCTTCCTCTCTCTCATCTCCTCTCCCCTTCTCCTCCCTCCATTTCCTCTCCTGAATACACTAACCAAATCCCAAGAGTAAGAGGAACAGGAAACGAGGAGGAGGAGGAGGAGGAAGGGGAGAGAAGGGGAGGAGGAAAGGGGAAGGAGGGGGGAGGAGGAAAGGGGAGGAGGAGGAGGAGGAGGAGGAGGAGGAGGAGGAGGAGGAGGAGGAGGAGGAGGAGGAGGAGGAGAGGAGGAGGAGGAGGAGGAGGAAGAAGAAGAGAGGTCAGGGAGATAGAGAAAAGAAGAAATGGAAAGAAGGAGAGGAGAAAAAGAAGGGAAGGGAAGGGAAGAAAGACGACAAGCTAAAAGAAGAAGAAGCAGAAGAAGAAGTAGAAAAAGACGAATAAGAAGAAAGACAACCAGAAGGAGTACACAAGACCTTACCAATCAAGACGAAATAGAGAAAGAAAAGAGGAATATAAAAGCGAGGAGAAGAATAAGAGGAAGAAGGAAGAGAAGCAGAAAGTGTGATCAAGACGAAACAGGGAAAGAAAGAATGAAAGCGGAGAGAAGAAATGAGGAGAAGAAGAAGAAGAAGAAGGAAGAGAAGCAGAAAATTGTGATCAAGACGAAACAGGGAAAGGAAGAATGCAAGCGGAGAGAGGAAATGAGGAAAAGAAGAAGAAGAAGAAGGAAGAAAAGAAGCAAAAAGTGTGATCAAGACGAAACAGGAAGAATGAAAGCGGAGAGAAGAAATGAGGAGAAGAAGAAGAAGAAGAAGGAAGAGAAGCAGAAAAATGTGATCAAGACGAAACAGGGAAAGGAAGAATGAAAGCGGAGAGAAGAAATGAGGAGAAGAAGAAGAAGAAGAAGGAAGAGAAGCAGAAAATTGTGATCAAGACGAAACAGGGAAAGAAAGAATGAAAGCGGAGAGAAGAAATGAGGAGAAGAAGAAGAAGAAGAAGGAAGAGAAGCAGAAAATTGTGATCAAGACGAAACAGGGAAAGAAAGAATGAAAGAGAAGAAATGAGGAGAAGAAGAAGAAGAAGGAAGAAGAGAAGCAGAAAATTGTGATCAAGACGAAACAGGAAGAATGCAAGCGGAGAGAAGAAATGAGGAGAAGAGAGAGAAAGGGGTAGGCAAGACAGGGTCGATCGCCGTCACAACAACACATCACTTCATCACACTCAACACCACTTTACCTCTCTCTCTCCTCCCTCATCATATTTCCCTCTTGTTATCCTTCCTTCGGGTCTGCCATTCCTACCCTCTTTTGCTTTTTCTTCTATTCTGCATTTCTTTCTTCTCTTTTTCGTCTTTATTTTTTTGGTTTCTGTCTCTTCTCTCTCCCTTTCCCTCTCCTCTCCTCTCCTCTCCTCTCCCTCCCTCCTCCCTCTCTTCCCTTCCTCTCTCTCCCCCCCCCTCTCTTCTCCCTCTTTCTCTTCTCCTCTCTTCTCTCCCCTTCTCCTCTCCTCTCTTCTCTTCCCTCCTCTTCTCCTCTCTTCTCTTCCCTTCTCTCCTCCCCACTTTTCCCTCCTCTTCTCTCTCCTCTCTCCCTTTCCTCTCCCTCCCTCCCTCCCTCTCCCTCTTTCCAGTCTCCCCGTCCATCGCCTTTACATCTCCAGTTATTTCCCTATCCTTCCTTCCTCCCATTATCAAATTTCACTTACTCCTGTTCCAATCATCGCATAATTCCCTTTTTTTAGGTTTATTAGCGTCTCTCCCGCCATTTCCCTTCGGGTTTATGGCGGAACTTTTTGAAGGAAGAGGGAGAGGGATAGAGGAGAGAGAGAGAGAGAGAGAGAGAGAAAGGAGAGAGAGAGAGAGAGAGAGAGAGAGAAGATGGAGATGGAGATGGAGAGGGAGACAGAGAGAGAGAGAGAGAGAGAGAGAGAGAGAGAGAGAGAGAGAGAGAGAGAGAGAGAGAGAGAGATGAGAGAGAGAGAGAGAGAGAGAGAGAGAGAGAGAGAGAGAGGAGAGATGGAGAGGAGATGGAGAGGGAGACAGGGAGAGAGAGAGAGAGGAGAGAGAGAGAGAGAGAGAGAGAGAGAGAGAGAGAGAGAGAGAGAGAGAGAGAGAGGAGAGAGAGAGAGAGAGAGGAGAGAGAGAAGAGATCGAGGAATATGAGGATAGGTAAGAGAGGTGAGAGAGAGAGACGTGGAGAGGGGAAGGATAAAGAGGTAATGAGAGAGGGAAAGGAGAGAAAGAGAGAAAAAAGAAGAGAAACAGAGAAAGACAGAGCCAGAAAAAAACAAGAGAGCGAGAGTGGGAGAGAAAAGAGAGAGAAACAGCAGCGAGAAAAAAGAGAAATAAAACAGAGAGAAGAGAGAGAAGAGAGAGAGAGAGAGAGAGAGAAGAGAGAAGAGAGAGAGAGAGAGAGGAGAGAGAGAGAGAGAGAGAGAGAGAGAGAGAGAGAGAGAGAGAGAGAAACAAACAAAGAGAAAAAGAGTAAGAAAAAAAAAAACATTACCCAGTCAC